TACCCGCAGCGGACAGGGGCTTCCCAAACAGCGCGGGCAGCGCCTAGTGGGGTTCTTATCACTTGGCCGGCGCGCGCAGGGCTCGATCGGGGGTTCGTTGCACTTGGCAGGCCCTGCGCAGCTCCCAACAAACGGGCTTGTGCAGGGGTTCTTATCCTGAGGCATGCGTGCGAAGAGCACTGGCCAACTGCATGAAAAGGCGTCCTTACTGTTCGGCAGGCGAAAGCGGATGGCAAGCGCCCAGCGCGAAGCGCACGCGCTTGATCATTTAGCAAGTGTGAGTGCACAGCTGAGGCAGATGCGCTTCAGAAGCGGTTCTTTACATTTACAAATACGCGCGGCGCTGAGCGGGCGTTCAAGTCATTTTGGGTTTCAACGATAGTTCCACGGCGGCAACCAGAAACCAGCAACGAACAACCAACCCACAAACAGCAAACAGCAACCACAACCAACAACCAACAAACAACAATCAGCAACCGACAAACGGACACACAACGACAACAACCACAACAACCGCAACAACCGCAACAACCAACCACAACCGCAACCACACCAGCAGCAGCAGCAGCAGCAGCAGCAGCACGACTACGACCAGGACCTCGACCACGACGACGACGACGCCAACGACCACGACAACAACCACGACCAAGACGACTACCGCGAGGACAACGACAACGACAACCACAATGACGAAGACAACAACGACCACAACAACCACGACGACGCTGATAACACGCTACGCAAACACAGACCCATGAGCTGGTTGTACTTTGGCTTGCTTTGGATGATGTGGGTTGCTTGAATGGCGACTGCGTCACTTGGCTCCATGTCTCATGACAAGCTCTGCGGCTTGCTTTGAAGCCACAGGCACGCTGGGTCGAGGCAGGCAACGCGAAGCGTTTACAACTATTACTCGTGTTGCACACTTCACTAATTTGGCTGGCAAATCGAACAATGACTCTCGCAGCAGCCCCGTTGCCACCCCAGCATTCTCATGGACGACAATAAACTCACCCTGCAGGAGTTGTGACTCTTTGGACGACACGCGTTGTGAGCAGAACACATCGCCGATTCCACACACTGGCAAATGTCGTTCAAGCATCCACCAGTCACTCCCTCCTTTGCTCAGAACATCACTTGTTGGAATTTCAGTTTGTGTGTATGCGCGTGCCAGAGAAAACTTGCATTTGGATCTAGTTGGATCAGCCAGAAGCTCAATGGCAATCAAATCCGCAGTCCTTGCCAGGCAAGCACCTCAACTTTGGGAAGAAAGGTAGCGGCAGTAGCGGCACTGGCGGGGGAGGCGGCTCGCCTTCGATGCTCCGCGGCTCGATGCTCCATGGAAGTCTAGTTTCAAGGCTTGCGCCATGCTTGCCATGTTCAAGGCTGGCCTTCGTTTTCAGCTGCTTTCTCTTTCGAACCTCCAGGGATGAGTCACAACCGGCACTCGCCGGGTAACTAATCTCCTCAAATGTCTGTCTTCTGGCATCCTCCGCCTCCGTCTTCACTTTCTCCTGACTTCTCCTTCAGCATGTCGGCCGGCGACTTTATTGGGCCTTCGCACGTGAACCGTTCATATTCACCCTAGACTGTAAAGGGTATGACATTAGGCGCTCGCAAAAAATGCAAAAAAGAAAAACCATTGGCATGTCATTAGGTAGACCATGAGTAATTAAGGAATATTGACTGTGAAAGTGTTGTCGCTGTAGATGACGCGGGCCAGCGCTATAGTAATCTCGAGCGAATGTGTTGCTTATTTTCTTGCCTGCTTGCCGCTTGCTTGCACCCCACCGCTTGCTTGCACGATGATGAAGGCAAGGTCGTGCAACTTGACGTCAACACGGCTGAAGGGCTGGCTTCAACACAGCCGAAAAGCAGCATCACAAAACCGGAGGTGGTTGTAGATCACTGCAAGCAAGCATCTATCAAGTGTTCCAATTCTGAGTCTCAATATCTCACTTGAAGCCCTTGCCTCCTTCGCCTTCGCCTTCGCCTTCGCCTTCGCCCTCCCCTTCGCCTGTCAGCCATCTAAGAAAATCAGACCTCAATCTCACGGGTCGCTGCCTTCCTTTTGCGCTTCGTCCATTTGCCCAAAGATGTCATTCAATTGTTCGCCTTGGTTCAAAAGACGGGCACAGCTCCTGCTTCCCAGTCAAACGAGCCAACAATGGTCATAACCGCAATGCAACGCAAAAAGAACCGGTAAGGAAAGGTGACAAAAAAGTCTGCCGTGTCATCAAGGAACTGCCTTCCTTCATCGCTTCCGACTCCTCTTCTGACCCTTCCGGTGGCTTGGGTGGCTTGGGGGGCGGCAGCGGTGGCGGTGGCGGAGGCTGGCACACAGGGTCGTCGTCTTCTGGCGTGCAGAAGACATTGTCACCTGAGCTCGCCGGGCTTTGCTTGCCGTTCATCCTTTGAAGCGGTGGGAAACTCACTTGGGTACTTATGTTGGTTTTCCTTATCATGCTAGTTTTGCTTTTTGTTTCCACTTGGAGGGCCAACTTCTGTGTCTTGCTGTGTGCCTTGGCCTAGCATTCTGGAAGGGGCTCGGTAGATGTCGGATATAAACAGGGTTTGGGATGGGGGTTGGGTGAACTTGGGTGTTGTTAGGATTGGTTTGGGATGGTTGTGGGGCTGCTTGGGGTTTAGGGTTGCTTGAGGGTTGTTGCAGAACGATATCAATGCGTAGAAGAGCATGTACACTTCTTTCATCAAGAAGCTCTACAGCATGCGCTGCTGCAAGATCAGTTCGACGAAACATCCTGCTGATGGCAAGCTTTCCGAAGCAGGATGAGACGAGATTTGAGTTGGCGTTTCTGTTCCCGAAGTATGATGGCTCATTTTCAGTAGAGAAAAGAGAGAAGAAGCAAATCGCACCTCCAGATCAATGGATCGGCAACCTGTCGCCAAATCGAAAGGACAACATCAGTATGGCACTCAAACAGATGAACATAGCTACGAGGTTCACGATGACACTTGAGGTATACCTCAGATCTCTCGCGAGGTCGACATCCAGAACTTTGGACGACCTATCCCTTCACGACCAACCATGGAGGATATGTCATTCGCGGCGCCCGCAACACCTTCGGACAAGGAATTGTACGAGCAAGAATACACATCAGTGTGAGTGGACAAAAGAGCCATAGCTGCTTGTGCGTATGGGATTGAGATAAGGACTTCATCATATATCTTGAACTTCCTCTACATCCTTCACTTGATACTTCCCTACCGTGAAGCGTGACAGTAGTGGGCATATTTCTCTGCAGGATTGTTTTAGGGCTTGCTTTGGCTTGGTGTGGGTTTGGTTGAGGCGTAGTTTTGAGTTGGTTTCAGGGCAGAAGTTGGTTCAGGATTTTTTGTGGGTGATGTGTTGGGTTGGTGACAAGTCAGGAGTCAGGCCATGGAGTTAGGGTTGGGGATGATGGGATTGGGTGCAAAGCGGAAAGCCAGCCTTCAGCCACGCCACAAGCCAACAAACAAAAGCCGAAAGCCGCTTTTCGTTTCATACGGTTGCTGTTTCCCTCACGACCAAGGGCTTCTGAAGCAGCTCTTTCGCAACTCCAACTTGGGGTCCGTTCACTACAGACTTTGACGTACGGATGCCCGATGATTTGTGTGGCCACAGCAGGCCTGTTGGACTCTCGCAGGCTGGTCAACCACCCCCGAGAGTTGGTGCTTCCACATGCTTGACACAGAATTATGCCAACGATTACCCTCACTCCCACTCACATGGCACCTGACAAAAAATACCTTTAAAAGGAATCTGATCTTCCAAATACCCTCCCACAAATGCTATTTAGTGCGAGGAGGGAGAAGCAGCCGCCTTTTGACCTGGGCTCTTCCAAAGACGGCGGCTCAGTTCGCCCCGCCTGGCAGGCACGGCGGCAGCTGGCCCGGCGGAAGCAGCTTGGCGTCGGGCGTCGGCCCGGCGATCTCGGAGTACTTGAAGCCTTCCCTCAGCCAACTCTCGTTTCCCAGAGCCTAGGGCAACAAGCCTTACCAGGTTTCTATAAGCAACCACTCTTCGTGAGAGGTGCGGTATTCTTTCTTAAATAAAAATGGGCCTAGCGGCACCATACCTGTGTCGCAGTCCACCTTGAAGTACGTTTTCTCCTGCGACAAAGACGAGCTGCGAAAGGTCAAGAGGCGTCAAGAGAATCTTGTGTCTGGCATTACTCGCTCGCTTCAAATGGCTTGGGCTTTGCCACTGTGGGAACATGTTCAGCTCACCTGCCTGAACCTGCCCTCAGAACAAGCTCAGGCCAACAATTGTTGAATGGTTGGTCATGTTGGTCTTGTGAGCTGCTCATCGACATGGCCTCATCATCATCAAAGGATGTCACCAGTCTCCTTCGTGGCGCCTGAGAGCATATTGCGAGCCAGAGTCAACATGTCAGGATGACGGGGAAGCAGTGCTCAATTAATTCCTTGGAGACTCCCAGCCGCCTCTGAAAGAACATCCCTAGTCAGTGATGCAGGAGTCTACAGGCGTCCAGCTGTGGCTCGTTTTAACATGCTCCCTAAGTTGCCATGAAAGCCCTCAAATGTGCCCATGATTGAACAGCTGGGGTAAAAAGAAGATCTGTCAAGGCGGCAGATAGCCATCCCCTGTTACTCCATTGGACCCGGGTGTTGAGACATGAAGGCCTTCGAGTCCCTGATCCATCCGGCCTGGGCCTCAGAAGGCCGCGCCTGCTCAGTCCGTTGGTCGATCCAGGACAAGTTGCTCCATGTCTGAGCCTGGAGCAGCTCCAGTGGCGCATGTTTCAGGAAGGCGGTCCCTCTTGCTCTGGCGAGCAACGTGGCGTCCTTAGCGGCTTGCACTCCATTCATCCTCAAGCACGTGCCCCGCTAGGATCAATGAGAAATACACTCATACGCTCAGTCTCAGGCATGCACCCATTGCAAGTGATCGTGCGGCTGCCAGTCAAGGCACTGCCATGTGCATCGAGGCATTCTTTGAGCGACGGATGTCGCTTGCCGCGACCTTTGTTTTTCCGTAGCGTCTTCTGACGACATGGGTAGGTCAAGGTGACTTGATAGCGAATGAATGAAGCCCACAACTTGTTTGAGCGTTCAGCACTAAAGCTGCTGAAAGATGGCAAGCATATTTGACACATGGCATCTCATGCATGTGTGCCGCCACTTCCACGTGAGCCAAATGGCCAGCACAAGCACAAGCTGATCCAGCATTCCCCTACACCTGAAACAAGTACTGGAGCCATGCGTCCAGTCCCTGAGAGATCGAGCCCTCTCTCAGCATCTTCTCTTGTCTTGGCCATGGTTTCTGGTGCTGGTTGTGCCGATGGGCAGCACTGGTGGCTCCAGCACTGGTGGCACTGCCCACGGTGCCGGTGGGAAGTGGTGGTGTCCGTGGGTTGTGCTTGTGGTGCCCGTCTGGTTTTGATGATAAGATAAACCCGTCCGGCATGATGGCCTTTTCCCCATGCCGCCTCTTGTTTAAGATCTGCACAGCCTGCACGGTTGTTGCACAACTGACCACATCACTGCAATGCAATGTCAGCAGAGTGCAAACAAACGGCAGCAACCGCGCCTCAGAGCCTTTCGTCTGCCCCCCCACGCTGCCCTTTGGCCCATGCCGCCTCTTGCTTAAGGTCTGCACAGCCTGCACGGTTGCCGCAATCTGTTGCACAACTGACCACATCACTGCAATGCAATGTCAGCAGAGTGCAAAAAGACGGCAGCAACCGCGCCTCAGAGCCTTTCGTCTGCCCCCCACGCTGCCCTTTGGCCCATGCCGCCTCTTGCTTAAGGTCTGCACAGCCTGCACGGTTGCCGCAATCTGTTGCACAACTGACCACATCACTGCAATGCAATGTCAGCAGAGTGCAAACAAACGGCAGCAACCGCGCCTCAGAGCCTTTCGTCTGCCCCCCACGCTGCCCTTTGGCCCATGCCGCCTCTTGCTTAAGGTCTGCACAGCCTGCACGGTTGCCGCAATCTGTTGCACAACTGACCACATCACTGCAATGCAATGTCAGCAGAGTGCAAACAGACGGCAGCAACCGCGCCTCAGAGCCTTTCGTCTGCCCCCCCACGCTGCCCTTTGGCCCATGCCGCCTATTGTTTAAGATCTACACAGCCTGCACGGTTGCCGCAATCTGTTGCACAACTGACCACATCACTGCAATGCAATGTCAGCAGAGTGCAAACAAACGGCAGCAACCGCGTCTCAGAGCCTTTCGTCTGCCCCCCCACGCTGCCCTTTGGCCCATGCCGCCTCTTGCTTGAGGTCTGCACAGCCTGCACGGTTGCCGCAATCTGTTGCACAACTGACCACATCACTGCAATGCAATGTCAGCAGAGTGCAAACAGACGGCAGCAACCGCGCCTCAGAGCCTTTCGTCTGCCCCCCCACGCTGCCCTTTGGCCCATGCCGCCTATTGTTTAAGATCTACACAGCCTGCACGGTTGCCGCAATCTGTTGCACAACTGACCACATCACTGCAATGCAATGTCAGCAGAGTGCAAACAAACGGCAGCAACCGCGACTCAGAGCCTTTCGTCTGCCCCCCCACGCTGCCCTTTGGCCCATGCCGCCTCTTGCTTGAGGTCTGCACAGCCTGCACGGTTGCCGCAATCTGTTGCACAACTGACCACATCACTGCCAATGCAATGTCAGCAGAGTGCAAACAGACGGCAGCAACCGCGCCTCAGAGCCTTTCGTCTGCCCCCCCACGCTGCCCTTTGCATGCCTCCTCTTGCTTAATGTCTGCACAGCCTGAACAGTTGCCGCAATCTGTTGCACAAATTACTACATCACTGCGATGCAATGTCGGCAGCGTGCAAACAGACAGCAGCAACCGCCCCTCAGAACCTTTCGTCTGCCACCCCACGCTGCCCTTTGGCCCATGCCGCCTCTTGCTTAAGGTCTGCACAGCCTGCACGGTTGCCGCAATCTGTTGCACAACTGACCACATCACTGCAATGCAATGTCAGCAGAGTGCAAACAAACAGCAGCAACCGCGCCTCAGAGCCTTTCGTCTGCCCCCCCACGCTGCCCTTTGGCCCATGCCGCCTCTTGCTTAAGGTCTGCACAGCCTGCACGGTTGCCGCAATCTGTTGCACAACTGACCGCATCACTGCAATGCAATGTCAGCAGAGTGCAAACAAACGGCAGCAACCGCGCCTCAGAGCCTTTCGTCTGCCCCCCCCACGCTGCCCTTTGGCCCATGCCGCCTCTTGCTTAAGGTCTGCACAGCCTGCACGGTTGCCGCAATCTGTTGCACAACTGACCACATCACTGCAATGCAATGTCAGCAGAGTGCAAACGGACGGCAGCAACCGCGCCTCAGAGCCTTTCGTCTGCCCCCCCACGCTGCCCTTTGGCCCATGCCGCCTCTTGCTTAAGGTCTGCACAGCCTGCACGGTTGCCGCAATCTGTTGCACAACTGACCACATCACTGCAATGCAATGTCAGCAGAGTGCAAACAAACGGCAGCAACCGCGCCTCAGAGCCTTTCGTCTGCCACCCCACACTGACCTTTGCCCCATGCCGCCTCTTGCTTAAGGTCTGCACAGCCTGCACGGTTGCCGCAATCTGTTGCACAACTGACCACATCACTGCAATGCAATGTCAGCAGAGTGCAAACAAACGGCAGCAACCGCGCCTCAGAGCCTTTCGTCTGCCCCCCCACGCTGCCCTTTGGCCCATGCCGCCTCTTGCTTGAGGTCTGCACAGCCTGCACGGTTGCCGCAATCTGTTGCACAACTGACCACATCACTGCAATGCAATGTCAGCAGAGTGCAAACAAACGGCAGCAACCGCGCCTCAGAGCCTTTCGTCTGCCACCACGCTGCCCTTTGGCCCATGCCGCCTCTTGCTTAAGGTCTGCAGAGCCTGCACGGTTGCCGCAATCTGTTGCATAACTGACCACATCACTGCAATGCAATGTCAGCAGAGTGCAAACAAACAGCAACAACCGCGCCTCAGAACCCTTCGTCTGCATCCCCACGCTGCCCTTTGGCCCATGCCGCCTCTTGCTTAAGGTCTGCACAGCCTGCACGGTTGCCGCAATCCGTTGCACAACTGACCACATCACTGCAATGCCATGTCGGCAGCGTGCAAACACACAGCAGCAACCGCGCCTCAGAGCCTTTTGTCTGCCACCACGCTGCCCTTTGGCCCATGCCGCCTCTTGCTTAAGGTCTGCACCGCCTGCACGGTTGCCGCAATCTGTTGCACAACTGACCACATCACTGCAATGCAATGTCAGCAGAGTGCAAACAAACGGCAGCAACCGCGCCTCAGAGCCTTTCGTCTGCAACCACACTGCCCTTTGGCCCATGCCGCCTCTTGCTTAAGGTCTGCACAGCCTGCACGGTTGCCGCAATCCGTTGCACAACTGACCACATCACTGCAATGCAATCTCACCAGAGTGCAAACAAACAGCAGCAACCGCGCCTCAGAACCCTTCGTCTGCATCCCCACGCCCTCACCGCCTCTTGTTTAACGTCTGCACAGCCTGCACGGTTGCCGCAATCTGTTGCACAAATGACGACATCACTGCAATGCAATGTCAGCAGAGTGCAAACAGACGGCAGCAACCGCGCCTCAGAGCCTTTCGTCTGCCACCCCACGCTGCCCTTTGGCCCATGCCGCCTCTTGCTTACGGTCTGCACAGCCTGCACGGTTGCCGCAATCTGTTGCACAAATGACTACATCACTGCAATGCAATGTCAGCTGAATACAAACAGAGCAGCAACCGCGCCTCAGAACCTTTCGTCTGCCACCGCATGCTGCCCCTTGTCCCATGCCGCCTCTTCAAGGTCTGCACAGCCTGCACGGTTGCCGCAATTTGTTCACAAATCGCCATGGGTCAAGATCCCATACCCCCAGTGAACATCCCAATCCCAACAAAACAAGACTAAAATCCGCCGACCTTTTGTCCTCAAAGGGGGAGGCGCACGGGAAGGGCGGAAGGTCATCACTATTGCATCAGCATGTCTTTCTTACACATATTTGAAGTGTGGGGCTAGGCTCAATTGGTGATGCAGAGGATGCTACGATGATAGTTATGATCACAATCCCTTATCATCATCATCATCATCATCATCATCATCATCATCATCATCATCATCATCATCATCATCATCATCATGAGCGTTAGGCTCAATTGGTGATGCACAGCATGCATTGGTGATGCAGAAAATGCTACGACAGCCATTAAATTGGCTTTGGACCATGCTCATCCGAAACTTGCTCGGATGAGCATGTTGACAGCTGGTGGAGTTGGCCCGCTACACACACAATCAGCATCATCATCATCATCCAGTATTGGTTTCTTCTGCATACTTGCAGTGTGGCGTTATCTCTTAGCCCACTTGGTGATGCACAGGATGCATTGGTGATGCAGGCGACACTACGACGGTAATTAAATTTGCGCTGGACCATGCTCATCCGAAACTTGCTCGGATGAGCATGTGCTCGTTGACAGCTGATGGAATTGGCTCGCTAGACACATGATCATCATCATCGTTCTCACCATCATCATCCAGTATGTCTTTCTTCTGCATACTTGAAGTGTGGGGCTGTGATGATTATCCTCGTTACTACTGGAGATGCTAAGGATGCGTAGAGACGGTCATCATCGTCAGTGATGATTCTCATCATCCTGCTCTGCGCTGCTGGAGATGCTAGAGCTGCATAATGATGATTATCATATCGCTGCTGGAGATGCTATGGATGCGTAGTGATGATTATCATTCACGCGGATCGTTGCCGGCAATATTGCCTTTGCATTCCCGTTATAGACATTTCAAAAGTCACGTTAGGCACAGTTGGAGATGCCGGCGATGCGTAGCGATGATCACCATCATCCTGATCATCACTGCTGCAGATGCTATGGATGCGTAGTGATGATTATCACTCACGCATCGTTGCCGGCGATGCTGTGGCTACGTAGCGATGATCATCGCCTTTGTGTTCCTATTACATACATTTCAATAGTCACGTTACGCACAGTTGGAGATGCCGGCG